TGTTGGGTGGGGGTATAGGGACGACCACAGAGAACACACTGTTGGGTGGGGGTATAGGGACGACCACAGAGAACACACTGTTGGGTGGGGTATGAGGACGCCCACAGAGAACACACTGTTGGGTGGGGTACAGGGACGCCCACAGAGAACACACTGTTGGGTGGGGGGATGGTATGAGGCCGCCCACACCCTTAGTGTAGACACCAGTGGCAGAGATAGCGAGGGTCGGGCCCGGGATTACTTCCGGAGCGTTCCCCTGATCCCGCCTCTCGGCGATTCCCTTATCAATCGAGACATTTCCACTTTAACAGGATACACTGCCACAACCTTCCCCTGCTCTGTCAGGTCTTACGGTTGTGTGTATGCTCGGCCCCTGGACTTTCCTTACTCGCGTCAGTCCAGTTGGCCGTACCAATCAGTCAAGTCGTCCAATGGGAATTAAAAGTCTATTGGACAACTTGGCTTCACCAAAGGGGCCACGAGTTCCAAATATGCCAAAAATATGCAATAAATGAAAACTAGTTCGATTTCATTCAAACTTTTTTGACGAGTTGTATGTGAAAAGGGTTTCATCTGGTCCAAGTCTCAGTATCGTAGCATAAATAGGAAGGGAGGAAAAAAATATTGAATGTGTCAAAAATTTTCCAAAATGACAAAAAATTAACATTAAACACAAGTGTAAACTGAAATCATCTCTATGACTCTCAGCTATCACAATAGCGTATATTAAAAAATAATAATAATTAGTTTTATAAAAAAAATTAAGTTAAAAAATTGATTTTTTTTTCAATTTTATTTTCTTATTTGTTTATCGGACGATTTGCATGAAACCTATACACCTGACTGCACGTAGGCCTATCTGTAAGGGTGCCAATTTTGGAGGAAATTGGTTAATGTCAACCTCAGCCACAGATGGCAGCACCTTAGTTAATGTCAACCTCAGCCACAGATGGCAGCACCTTAGTTAATGTCAACCTCAGCCACAGATGGCAGCACCTTAGTTAATGTCAACCTCAGCCACAGATGGCAGCACCTTAGTTAATGTCAACCTCAGCCACAGATGGCAGCACCTTAGTTAATGTCAACCTCAGCCACAGATGGCAGCACCTTAGTTAATGTCAACCTCAGCCACAGATGGCAGCACCTTAGATTTTAAATTTTAATTATTTATTTTTCAAGTAACATAAACTGAGTCCCAACTCTTTCATTTTTATTCAATTTACATGAAAGTTACACCTTATATGTAATGTTTATGTCTCTAAAATCTCATACCAGCGTTTTTTCCTTAGTTCATTTATTGATTTTATAATAGCAATAAACATGATATGTTTGCATAATTTTGGGGGGGGGGGGGAACTTTGACTATTTGTATTAGTAAATCTAAACATATTTTGGAAAATCCGTGGCATCAGGTCCTTTATTATATGTTAATGTGTCAGAAAAGTGTCATAGAATGATTATATTTGAAACTTGTGGTTGTAGGAACTTACTGAAAATGTGTAAACTTCGTTGAAAAAAAAAATATATATATAAATATCCCTTTTTATTTAGGCTACAGTACTGAAAACTTGGGACTCTTTTCATATACAACTAGTCAAAAAAGATTTGTTGACATTGAACAAAGTTTAAAAAACTAACTCGTGGCTCCTTCACCAAACAGATTGACCTTGTCAGCCACTCAAGGCTTCCATTTTTCAATATTTGTCAAGAAGATACATGTGAATACTTCAATTGCAATTTGGAGACTAAATTCAGAGCTCGCGGATCGGAAACCTGTGTATCATCTCTGAATACCGTTCTGGAATTTAGAAACACTAATTCACTGCATCTATCAGGAGAATGCGCCAAGCCATTACGACTATATAGCACTGGGAAGGGGTCTGGATAAGGATTTGGGATGGGAAGGAAGGAAGTAATGGTGCCCAACCACTTGGACGATCGGGGATTGAACGCCGACCTGCATGAAGCGAGATCCTCGCTTTATCGTCCAGCCCAAGTGGTTGGGACTGGGAGACGACGTATCAGATGACTTATGTTGGAGATTTACTTATGTCACTCTCGATCGTGAGTCGTGTCAAGCAATAACTCAAAGAGAGAGAAGTGTGTGGTCTGCAAAGTCTAAACTGATTTGGCTAAGTTTTCAACCTTAAAGTCAGACAAGGAGGTGGCGAGCCAAAGCCGCAGAGCACCATATCATCTTGCGGTTACTTTGCGATGATTTCGGGGCTCAACGTCCCCGCGGCCCGGTCCTCGACCAGGCCTCCTTACACAACCATCAGACTCCTGGCGTCAACTGTGGTTGAGACCTCACACACATCTACTCCTGGATTGATAAAGCATATACACGTCCATTTACGACACCTGTACATCTTTCCCCAATCATGGGAGCTTAGTCTATATTAAACAACTTGACCATGCAAACGTTTGGAGGTGGTTCTAAACCCAAGCTTAGTTAAGTTATAGACTAAGCACGTAGCACTTAGGAGCTCATAAACAATACCTGACCTCCGCCCGGAGACCTGACCTCCGCCCGGAGACCTGACCTCCGCCCGGAGGCCTGACCTCCGCCCGGACCCCTGACCTCCGCCCGGAGACCTGACCCTCGCCCGGAGACCTGACCCCCGCCCGGAGACCTGGCCTCCGCCCGGAGACCTGGCCTCCGCCCGGAGACCTGGCCTCTGGCCGGAGACCTGACCTCCGCCCGGAGACCTGACCTCCGCCCGGAGACCTGACCTCCGCCCGGAGACCTGACCTCCGCCCGGAGACCTGACCTCCGCCCGGAGGCCTGACCTCCACCCGGAGACCTGACCTCCACCCGGAGACCTGACCTCCACCCTGAGACCTGACCTCCGCCCGGAGACCTGACCTCCGCCCGGAGACCTGACCTCCGCCCGGAGACCTGACCTCCGCCCGGAGACCTGACCTCCGCCCGGAGACCTGACCTCCGCCCGGAGACCTGTATATCATGATATCATAATGATATGATATCATAATGATATCATGATGATATCATCATGATATAATGATGATATCATAATGATATCATCATGATATCATAATGATATCATGATGATATCGTGATGATATCATTCTCTAACACACACTTTCTACACCTGCCGACAGTTGTTTGGCCAGCCCTTCAGGAGCCACGTGTTCAAACAATGTTCAAACCAATACAACTTTTAACGAGTTGAAACAAAACAAACAAATGGGTTAATGAAAGAATCGGGAACGAAACTATGAGGGGAAAGCGCTCAGCCATTATGACTATATAGCACTGGGAAGGGATCAGAATAATGATAGGGGATGGGACGGGGGGAAAGGAATGGTACCCAACCACTTGTGGACGGTCGGGAATTGAACGCTGACCTGCATGAAGCGTAAGTGGAGTGTTACTTATTTACTTATTTAAGAGTTCATACAGTCTTGTACAGCTTCTAGTAAGTATAGCTTTTCCAACCCGTTCTCGCAAATTTAATAAGTCAATATTGACTTATTAAATATGTGCATAGGTGACATACTTAACATAATTGATACCCTTAAAAAGATTCATAGAAAACACCGACCTTACCTAACCTACTTAGTATGTTAAGATAAGCATCTTATGCTTCGTAATTACAATTATTACCTAACCTATAATAGGTATAGGTTAAGTAATAATTGTAATTACGAAGCAATAAGATGCTTATCTTAAGATACTAACAAGGTTAGGTAAGGTCGGTGTTTTCTATGAATCTTTTTAAGGGTATCTATTATGTTTAATATATCACCTATGCACGTAGTTAATAAGTCAATATTGACTTTACGAATTTGCGAGAACGGGTTGAGCGTTTCGGGCAGGTCCTTAACCCTAATATTCACACAAACATCACACATCATGCGGGACCAAAGAGCTACAGCTCAACCCCCGCAAGCACAACTAGGTGAGTACATCCCCGGGAAGCAGCCCGTAGCAACTGTCTAACTACTAGGTACCTACTTACTACTAGGGTGAACATGGGCATCAGGGTGAAAAAAACTCTGCCCATTTGTTTCCGCCTCCACCGGGGATCGAAGCCAGACCCTCAGGAATACGAATCCCGAGCATTGTCCACTCAGCCGTCAGGCCCTCCACTTAGCCAGTTCAGTTGTCTTCACTCTGCATAGAAGGATTTCCTCTTTGCAGAGGTTATGGTGAAGCGAAGAGTAACGTCACCCTCGTCACCATCGCTGGTGACGAGAACTATTAGTGATCTCATCACTATTTGTTGATGTTGTTTAAGATTAGCTACCTGGAACAAGAAGTTCCAGGCAGCACGGGCTATGGTGAGCCCGTAGTCACCATCACTATTGTCCTATTACGAGCGTTTGTTCCCCCTCTCGCTTCCCTTAGTACAGGTGCGTCCCAATGTTACCATACTGCCACTGTCATCACGCCGCGTCCCAATGTTACCATACTGCCAGTGTCATCACGCCGCGTCCCAATGTTACCATACTGCCAGTGTCATCACGCCGCGTCCCAATGTTACCATACTGCCAGTGTCATCACGCCGCGTCCCAATGTTACCATACTGCCACTGTCATCAGTCCCAATGTTACCATACTGCCAGTGTCATCACGCCGCGTCCCAATGTTACCATACTGCCACTGTCATCACGCCGGACTGGTGTCAGGAGTCTGGGGCTCCTCCAGTCTCACCACAACACACGCATCACCATCACTGGGAGCCGGTCGGCCGAGCGGACAGCACGCTGGACTTGTGATCCTGTGGTCCCGGGTTCGAACCAGGCGCCGGCGAGAAACACCTGGGCACAGTTTCTTTCACCCTATGCCTCTGTTACCTAGCAGTACAATACGTACCTGGGTGTTAGTCAGCTGTCACGGACTGCTTCCTGGGGTGGAGGCCTGGTCAGGACCGGTTTGGGGGACACTAAAAGCCCCGTCTCATCTCAACATAACACAAGCATCACCATCACAGACAACACCAGACACAAACGATCGTGTTTGGTGATGACCTCACAACGTTTGTGTGGTGGAGGTTAGTGAGAGAACTTGGTGCCAGAGGAGTACAAGCTGTACTGTCAGGTGAAGGAGGATTCCCAGTGAGAAGTGGAACTTCGTGGACCTGGGGAATCGTCGAGTAGTGTGGGGAGCTACACGTCGATTGTGGGAAGCGTTTGGGAACAGCTTCACTGACATTTGAGGACCTCATTGAGGCTGATTGGAGGTGCTGCAGGAGAGTCTTACATATTTTGAGGACCCAGATGATGATTGTAATATTCCTCGAGTGCTGGAATAGAGGATCATAAGGACCTCGATATCTAAGGGAGTGTTTGATTGCATTTTTGGTGTAAATTGCGCAGTGCAAAGTGAAAGGGTTGATGCTCTTGTAGAGTAGGAAATATATGAATATTATATGTGTCATGTACTGTAGCCTGAAGCAGTGAAGGAAGCAGAAGGTTGTGGACTGAGGTTCAAGCAGCAGCCTGGTACAGTTATAGAGCTTCAAGCAGCAGCCTGGTACAGTTATAGAGGTTCAAGCAGCAGCCTGGTACAGTTATAGAGCTTCAAGCAGCAGCCTGGTACAGTTATAGAGGTTCAAGCAGCAGCCTGGTACAGTTATAGAGCTTCAAGCAGCAGCCTGGTACAGTTATAGAGGTTCAAGCAGCAGCCTGGTACAGTTATAGAGCTTCAAGCAGCAGCCTGGTACAGTTATAGAGCTTCAAGCAGCAGCCTGGTACAGTTATAGAGCTTCAAGCAGCAGCCTGGTACAGATATAGAGCTTCAAGCAGCAGCCTGGTACAGTTATAGAGGTTCAAGCAGCAGCCTGGTACAGTTATAGAGCTTCAAGCAGCAGCCTGGTACAGTTATAGAGGTTCAAGCAGCAGCCTGGTACAGTTATAGAGCTTCAAGCAGCAGCCTGGTACAGTTATAGAGGTTCAAGCAGCAGCCTGGTACAGTTATAGAGCTTCAAGCAGCAGCCTGGTACAGTTATAGAGCTTCAAGCAGCAGCCTGGTACAGTTATAGAGCTTCAAGCAGCAGCCTGGTACAGTTATAGAGGTTCAAGCAGCAGCCTGGTACAGTTATAGAGGTTCAAGCAGCAGCCTGGTACAGTTATAGAGGTTCAAGCAGCAGCCTGGTACAGTTATAGAGGTTCAAGCAGCAGCCTGGTACAGTTATAGAGCTTCAAGCAGCAGCCTGGTACAGTTATAGAGCTTCAAGCAGCAGCCTGGTACAGTTATAGAGCTTCAAGCAGCAGCCTGGTACAGTTATAGAGCTTCAAGCAGCAGCCTGGTACAGTTATAGAGCTTCAAGCAGCAGCCTGGTACAGTTATAGAGCTTCAAGCAGCAGCCTGGTACAGTTATAGAGCTTCAAGCAGCAGCCTGGTACAGTTATAGAGCTTCAAGCAGCAGCCTGGTACAGTTATAGAGGTTCAAGCAGCAGCCTGGTACAGTTATAGAGGTTCAAGCAGCAGCCTGGTACAGTTATAGAGCTTCAAGCAGCAGCCTGGTACAGTTATAGAGGTTCAAGCAGCAGCCTGGTACAGTTATAGAGCTTCAAGCAGCAGCCTGGTACAGTTATAGAGGTTCAAGCAGCAGCCTGGTACAGTTATAGAGCTTCAAGCAGCAGCCTGGTACAGTTATACAGCTTCAAGCAGCAGCCTGGTACAGTTATAGAGCTTCAAGCAGCAGCCTGGTACAGTTATAGAGGTTCAAGCAGCAGCCTGGTACAGTTATAGAGCTTCAAGCAGCAGCCTGGTACAGTTATAGAGCTTCAAGCAGCAGCCTGGTACAGTTATAGAGGTTCAAGCAGCAGCCTGGTACAGTTATAGAGCTTCAAGCAGCAGCCTGGTACAGTTATAGGTTAGAGATATATGAGTGTCATCAGTGGGTAGCTGCCCAAGACGTTATATTGTTTTCTTGCTATTCTTGTGTATGTATATTGTATGTATTTTTGTATTAAATGTCATATATGTTAGCTGGCGTTTGCTCTTGTCCTGGTGAGGCTTCCTGGCTAGAGAGAGAGAGAGAGAGAGAGAGAGAGAGAGAGAGAGAGAGAGAGAGAGAGAGAGAGAGAGAGAGAGAGAGAGAGAGAGAGAGAGAGAAAAGACACGGCTATAACTTGGGTGACAGAAGACTATAAAAAAAGAGAGACACGGCTATAACTTGGGTGACAGAAGACTATAACTAAGCGGGAATAGAGAGATCATCCCAAAATAAGGAGAGTGCGGGGAGTCACAGCGGCTCGAGTGCGGGGAGTCACAGCGGCTCGAGTGCGGGGAGTCACAGCGGCTCGAGTGCGGGGAGTCACAGCGGCTCGAGTGCGGGTGTGTCCACACGACAGCTAGCCAGAATGAGCCGCACCCCTGAATAAAGGGGACACCGAACCCCTCTCCCAGAACCAGACGCTTACCAGGGGGATCTCCTAAATCATTGCAAGCACTCCAGTGTTCATTGCTGCTCCACCCACGATAGCAGGTGTGTGTGTGGCTGCTGACGTCTGCTGTTCGTTCACTCAGGGAGTGGTTGGGACCTCTGTTCAATGGTAATCGAATATCAGGTTGGTTCTAATAACCTAGTGCAGGTACAAAGAGCCTTCCCCCCCCCCCCCGACCCCACCACACCCCCCCCCCCGACCCCACCACACCCCCCCCCCTGATAATACCAACCCTCACTATGCTCTCTGTAAAGAAAAGAAACGCAATACAAGATAAAAGAAATTAATTGCGTGTGCGTGCAGGTGAGTGTGACGGAGAGGGAGGGTGAGGGAGGGAGGGAGGGAGGGAGCACAAGGGTGAGAAAGTGAGAGCGAGGAGAGAGATATAACTATATATAACGATATATGACTATATATAAGGAGGGATATATAGTCAGACATTCACAGACAGAAGCAGACAGACTGGGATAGATCCAGACATTCACAGACATTCACAGACAGACTGGGATAGATCCAGACATTCACAGACAGACTGGGA